CACGTTATGTAGACATGCCCCGTTATGTAGACGTCCACATAATGTTTTAAGGTCACCATCGCATTTCCCGCCAAAAATTACATCATGTGTTAAAATATTTTTGAATTTGGTTCCGGTCCGAATAACGCTGTTATTTCGTTATTTCTATACACAACGCTATACACACTTCGAGTGTGTGCAGAATTTTTGGTGTCCACATAACGGCAGTAGCTTTCTGATTTGTGTACCGCCGGGTGTGTGTGTGAGACGGTACGTGGCGGATCCATCTAGGAGTTGGAATCCAGAAGCCTTCTCTGCTGTACATCATGGAGCAACTCTCTGCAGTTAGTTTAATAAGAGTTTTACGGCGCTGGCAACATCTTACGGCCACATGCATGCATGAAACACAAGTTGATTGCATTCACAACAGCTCACTGCACGGCTTTATTTTACTTTTAAAGTAAAGGAAAACATCTCATGGTAAAAAAAAAATTGTTTTAAAAAGATTAGAAAATAAAAAGAGATGTTTACATTTTAAAACAAAAATTATCTACTTTTTAGAGTACAGGCTAATGACTTTTATAGATTTGAGAATTCCATTTGGATCAACGACGGAGAACAGAACTTTTAATTTTGTGCATTTAAAATATTTACTTCGGGTCTCTCCAAAGTCCGGACATTCTAATGTGTCTAATGGTTAAGTCTGTATCGCATCTGACACAGAGCGGTTTCTCATCTCAACGCAGGAGATATCCATGGGTCACTGAAGCATATATCTAAATACGTAAACGAGTAAAAACTTCTTCGTCTGTTCTCGAAAGACCAGAAGATTTTCGTGGGTCCAGTGTGGACACTGTGAAGCTTGTTGGTAGTTGTTTACTTTAGTTTTTATCCCACAGCCTGGAGATGTAGTGAAGGAAATAATTCTCAACAGCAATTTAACTAGATTTTCTATTTTCGGGTTTCAAAGTTTTAGATTGTCTAACAACAGCAAGAAAATGGACATCCAGGTCAAAACCAGAGGCTTGAGACCGTACTCAGCTTCAAATACCAGCGTGCAATAGTGACAGACAAAGGATCAAAACCAGAAGAGGGCAAACTTCAGCAGCAATGACCAAGTTGAAAACCAGTTGGAAAGACAGAAATATCACAACCAGATCAAAGATCAGACTCATGCATTCCTGGTCATGTCAGTATTTTTGTATGCATGTAAATTCTGGACCTTGAATGAAGGAATGAAGACCTTGAAAGGAGGATCAAAGCTGTGGAGATGAGATGCTTCCAAAAAATCCTTAGTATCTCATTCAAAGATCACATCACAAATGATGAAGTCAAACAACGGTTAAAAAATGCAATTGGTCCATACCCTGGCCTTCTCACTTTGGTCAGGAAACGCAAACGGCAAACAGCAATGGCATAGACACATCACCCGTTCATCCGGCCTTGCCAAGATGATCTTGCAAGGCAGCGTCAAGGGAAAAAGGAGCAGAGACAGACCGACGAAGAGTTGGAAGGACAACATCAAGGAATGGACAGGCCTGGACCTCAAAGACACGCTCTGAAGAGCGGAAGGAGTGTAGGAAGCTGGTGGTCAAATCTTCAAAAGCCCCGACGAACATCCACTCTTCGGGATAGGTGAAAGTGAAGTGAAGTAGATTAGTTTTTATCCCATAGCTTGGAGATGTAGTTAAAGAAATAATTCTTAACTGCATTTTAACTATTTTCGAGTTTAAAAGTCGTCAAGCCGCTACCTTTTTGGCCTAAGTCAGACTTAGGCCAAAATGCAACAAACACACCGTTCGAATCGTTGTAACGTCTGCTATCACATTTTAAAGAAATGAATTAAATCGGCCAACACATTTTCCTACAAATCCCGAAATAACACTTTGGCCTAAGTCAAAAATGACTAAGGCCATAATGATTCTGGACGCGGTTTGGCCTATGTCAGAGATGGGCCAAACGGTTCTCAGAATCATTTTGGCCTATGTCAGAGATGGGCCATAAAACTAGCCTCGACCGCCTTCCGTTTCTAGTTTTTTCCTCTCCCGCTACCCAAGATGGCGTCACGCAGCAGAACAACAATGATGTCAGTCGCCAGTGCTTTAAGCCTTGTTTTGCAAGAAGAGAGTGATGGTAAGTGGTATAATTTATTTTCTCTTTTTTGCTTAGGTTCTAGGCTTAGATTGTAGATATATGGCTATCAGGTTACTTATTATGGGAGGACTTCCGTAACGAGCGACCACTATGAGACAGATTATAATTGATGAGGCATTGGTCCTGGCTTCTACCCAGGCCATTCCCGTAACCGTTATCATCCGCGGCCGTTAGCCGTGCCATTAGAATTAAGATCTACAAATCTAGATTAGATCTAGATCTAGATGTGATCTAGAGGTAGAGATCTTATTTTGTAAACAGATCAAGATCTCTAATTATTGTTTTCTTAATTTTTAATTAGTCTAGATATCTAGATCTAGATCTCTAGATCTAGATATCTAGAATCTAGATCTAGATCTAGATCTAGAGGATAGATTCTAGAACATTGTAGGTTCTAGGGATCTAGAAGATCTAGATTCTAGACTCTTTTAAATCTATTCATTAGCAGACGATGGATTATCATTTTCCTCTATCTTCTTCTTCTGATATCTGTATTCTAGATTCTTCTAGAGATGATGCTTTGTTATGATGAGAGAGCCGAGTCTAAAAGTTTTTATAATTTCGTTATGGTCACTCCGTTGTGACGTCTGTTAAGGCCTGGATCTACTTAAATCTAGATCTAGAGATCTAGTTTCAATGTCAGTTGCCAGCGTGGTTGGCTCCGAGATAGAAAGCTCGACTTCGAAGCCAAAGGTAATGGATTCGACCAAACTTCATGTCAGTTGACTTACACGCAAGTAGGACTTTGGTGTGCACGCAGTAACTAATCAGCTAGATTCTAGATCCTGGTGCCCTCCTTGCAGCCACAGACAATATTTTTTCCACAAGGGCTAGATTCTATGCTATAGCAGTATGTGTTTTAATTTATAGATAGGCCTACCACACCTGCATGTATTTTTTTTAAATTTCAGATTCACAACAAAGTCAAAGTCTCGGCAGCAGCGGCAGTGAATTTGAGCCACCACCAGATCGAAAATCTGAGCCTGGAACCTTACGGGAGGACCAGCCCAATTCAGTGACAGCAGAAGGTTAGTAAGCTTCTAAATCTATGCCTTTAATTTCTGGTACCTTAGGGAAGGACCAGCCCAATTCAGTGACAGCAGTAGGTTAATTAAGCTTCTAAATCTTACCATTACTAGACTAGGCCTCATTTATTTTATGTGCATAAACTGGGAAATTTCCGTCTGAATAGCATAGAGATCGTCGTTTCTTCAATGCTCATGCACATTATTGTTGTACAATGCAGTATGACAGGCACACTGAAAAGGTTTTTCCTCTATCTCTCACTCTTCTGTTTTTTAAAACATTCTGTCCTGAGTTTTAATTCGTTTCTTTTATTTACATATAATATGTATTATAATGTAACTTAAACATCTTGTCTGAGTTGGATTCATTATTGCACGTTATAATCTTGTTCTCAATGTCCAGGTTCATCTTGCCGTGGGCTCATGAACCCTTTGGTGACTGGGCCTGCACAGGGAGGGGAGGACAACGATCCCAGCACATCCCAGGTGGAAACCGATGAAGCTTAGCTCGGACCTTTAGCTGGTTTGTCTCACTTTCCACATCATCCAGTGAATAAAAAGAGTACTTTTAAGTTTACTGGGTCATTTAAGATCTGTTTCCTTTCAAATTCCCCAGTTAACACGTTACTAGGCCATATTAATGGTAGTGTTTTGTTTGGGTGGGGGGAGGGGGGTTGTGTTCTTACATTGCCATTTCCATTTATATAAAGAAATTGTTTTCAGATTTTCAAATTAGTTTCTAACTATTAGGACATACTGGTGGTGTTGATGTTTTTGCTAGATTTATAATTTACATGAATATGAATATATATATATTAACAATTTTACTGGAATAGTTTAGAGGATAATGAGCAGTTCTGTCTGTAAAGTTACAAGTTTTTTTCCCTTTCTCTTTCATTTTCAGCTCTTGAG